GGTAACAAGAGTGAAACTCCGTCTCAAAAAAAAAAAAAAAAAAAAAAAAGAAATGGGTTCTCGCTATGTTGCCCAGGCTGGTCTTGAACTCCTGGGCTCAAACAATCCTCCCTCCTTGGCCTTTCAAAATGCTGGGATTACAGGTGTGAGCCACTGCGCCTGCCCAAAATGGCAGCTTTTTTTTTTTTTTTTGGGGGGGGGTATAGATAAGCTAACTCTAAAATTTATATATAGAAAGACAAAGGAACTAGAATAGCTAAAGTAATAGAAAAAGAATAATGAAGTTAGAGGAAATCACACTACTCAATTTTAAAACTTATTGTATAGCAACAATAACAAACAGTAATGAGGATAGTGTGGTATTGGAGGAGGGAAGGACACATGCACAGATCACAATATGGTCCAGAAGTAGACTCACATCATAAGGTTGCCCAACAGATTTTTGACAAAGGTGCAAAATCAATTCAACTGGGGAATAATAGTCTTTTCAATAAACAGGGTTAAAACAACTAGACTTCTATAAGTAAAAAATAAGCCTTTACCTAAATCTCACAACTTGTACAAAAATTATCTCAAAAAAGATCTAAATGTAAACCAAAAACCTCTAACAATTTTAGTAGAAAACAGGGAAAAATCTTCATGACCTGTGGTTATGCAAAGAATTCTTAGACAAGACATCAAAAGCACAATACATTTTTAAAAAAGACAAACCAGTATTCATCAAAGTTCAAAATTTTAATGCTGTGAAAGAGCCTGTTAAGAGGATGAAAAGGCAAGACTCAGGCTGGAGAATATATTCACGTATTTGACAAAGGACTGTTATCCAAAATATATAAGGATTGGTCGGGCATGGTGGTTTATGCCTGTAATCTCTGTAATCCCAGCACTTTGGGAAGCCCAGGTGGGCAGATCACTTGAGGTCAGGAGTTTGAGACCAACCTGGCCAACATGGCAAAACCCCGTCTCTACTAAAAATACAAAAAGAATTAGCCAGGTGTCATGCCACAAGCCTGTAATCCCAGCTACTCAGGAGGCTGAAGCAGGAGAATTGCTTGAACCCAGGAAGTAGAGGTTGTGGTGAGCTGAGATCACACCACTGTACTCCATCCTGGGCAATAGAGTGATATGTCTCAATAAATGAATGAATAAATAAATAAATAAAACAAAATATGTAAAGAGCACCCTAAACTCAACATTAAGAAAACAAGCAATCCCATTAGAAAATGAGCAGACACTTGAACAGACACTTTACTAAAGAGGAACAGAGAACAAGCTATGTTTTAAAATGTCCAGGCATGGTGGCATGGGCCTGTAACCCCAGTACCTTGGGAACCCAAGGCGGGAGGATAGCTTGAGCCCCAGGAGTTCAAGACCAGCCTGGGCAATATAGCAAGACCCTGTCTTTCCAAAAAAAAAAAAAAAAAAAATTGGATGTGGTGGTGCACACCTTAGTCCCAGCTACTCAACAGGCTGAGGTGGGAAGATCGCTTGACCCCAGAAGGTCAAGGCTGTGGTGAGCCATGTTCAAGCCACTGCACTCCAGTCTGGGCAAAAGAGCAAGACCCCACCTCAAAGTAAAAGAAAAAATTTTAAAAGAGGACATATAATTTACAAATGGCACGTGAAAATATGTTCAACTTCATAGTCATTAAGGAAATGCAGATTAAAGCCACAATGAGATGCCATCTCAGGAACACAAATAATGGAAAGAGTTTGTAAGCTTTAAGAAAGAACAGTACATAGACTCACTTGATCTTAGAAAGGTCTTGAATCTCTCTGGCTACAGCATGGAGGATGTACTGGAGACAAAGATGAAGGCCTGACCTAAGGTAGGGGCCTTGAGGATGGAGAGAAATGGGTGGATACAGCAGATGGCTATTAGGTGGAACCAGCAGGACCTGGCTTTGTGAAAGGGCTGAGATAGAAGGTGTGAGAGATGACTCGAATTTTTGGCTTAAACACTTGATACGCTTTTTATCCAGAAAGGCAGAAATGTTCAATTGTGTCAAATGTTCCTGATTTAAAAAAAAAAGAAAAAGAAAAAAAAATCAGAGTCCTATGGTTGGTAAAGTAAATTTTAAAATAAGCAAATAATGTTAAATATTCCTGATAAGTCAAGGGAGATGAGGACTTAGAAGTGACCATGGGTGTGGCTCATACCTGTAATCCCAGCACTTTGGGAGGCCAAGGCAGGCCGATCATGAGGTCAAGAGATCAAGACCACCCTGGCCAACATGGTGAGACCCCATCTCTACCAAAAATACAAACATTAGCTGGGTGTGGTGGTGCATGCCTGTAGTTCCAGCTACTTGGGAGGCTACGGCAGAAGAATTGCTTGAACCCAGGAGGCAGAGGTTGCAGTGAGCCAAGATTATGCCACTGCACTCCAGCCTGGGCGACAGAGCAAAACTCCATCTCAAAAAAAAGAAGTGACCATGGGTTTAGTGACAAACACTTTTAAGGTATAGTGGGGGCAGAACCAAGTAAGTTGCAACAGAACAAGTCATAAAGGGAAGGTAGAGAATAATAAGGCCAAATTGACTTCCTTTCAGTCTTTAAGAAGAAGAGAGAAGATAAGTCACTCCATAAAGAGAATCATGGAATCTATTCTCAAAGCAGAGAACAATCTATGTTTAAAAAATGTCCAGCACTCTTCTCCATGCTAGCTGTGTGGTAATCCTGTGTTCTCATCTATAAAATGGATTTCTAATAATACCTACATCATGGGGTTATGGTGAAGGTCAAGTCTTCATATCTCTTAACAATCGTTTCCTGTCTGTCTCCTCCACCAAACTACAAGTTCATGAGCAACACTGACAGCTCTTAGTGCATGAGGTGGTATATTGTTAATAAATAACAGTGCATGCCCAAGGTAAGCACCAGAGAAGTCAGCTGGGGGGTGTGATCCTGATGGGGAAGAAGAGAGCCCCACACCCTCAGCTTGCTGTTTTCCAGGCCCTGAGGAGGTATCTCCTGACTGCCAAGGTGTGAACACAGGCATGGCGGCAGAAGTGCCAGGAGTGAGCCCTTTCCGACGGAGTTATCCCTGCTTGAACCCACAGCTGGAGAACAATGAGGGGCAGGCTGTGAACTCCAAACGCCTCCTCCACCATTGCTTCATGGCCACAGTGACCACCGGTGACATTCCAGGCAGCCCCGAAGAGGCCCCTGTACCCAACCCTGACCCACATGGACCAGTCCCATAAACATTCAATAAATGTCTCCACACCATCCCTTTCTGGAGTGTCTTCAGTGAAAGGTGGGAGTGGGAAGGGACTTTGGAGCCTAGCAGGATAAATGAGGGCTTTTTCCAGCAAAGCTACCCAGCACTGCTGTGGACCCTGCTATACTGCTCTGCCTGGCCTATTGTGGGCCAAGGAAGGTTGACGTGACTCCTAGGAAAAATGATCAGTAACAACTCCATGCAATCAAGTGGAAGCCTGGGGCCTGTGAAGGCACAGAGGAGCCCCTCGCCCAACTGGGAAGTCATAGAACTCTGACATGATTTTCCTGCCCCACAGTAGGTATAATTATGAGCCCCTGGGAAGATGGTTAGCCCTCAGAGGGGAACAATCTCTGCCTCTCCAGCAACTCTGCCCCACCCTGGAGTGAGCCATCCTGGAGGAAACCCCTTTCAGAGGGACAGATAGAGAGAGAATATGGTGTGCACAGGGCTCAGCCATCATTCTATTTCTCAGGTAGATGAAGGAGTGAATGCTAAGTAAGAGAGAGAATGAATAGGGGCTGGACGCAGCCGTTCATGCCTGTAGTCCTAGCACTTTGGGAGGACAAGGTGGATGGATCACTTGAGCCCATATGTTCAAGACCAGCTTGGGCAACATAGATCCCATCTCTACAAAATTTAAACATTAGCCACATGTGGTGGCTTATACGTGTAGTTGCAGCTACTTGAGAGGTTGAAGCAGGAGAATCGCTTGAGCTCTGGAGGTCCAGGCTGCAGTGAGCTATGATCACACTACTGCACTCCAGCCTAGGCAAGACCTCATCACCAAAAAAGAAGAAGAATGAATGAATTAATGGTTATCAGACTGAATACAGACTCCAGAGGGTGGGCTCTGCCACTGTGTGGCCTTGATAAAGTCCCTATCTTCCTGCGCCTCAGTCCCCTTGCTGGGTTATTTCAAGTGTTCAATGATGTGATGGATTTTAACTTACTTTATAAACATTAAAGTGCTAAAAGCCTTTTTGTTTGTTTTTAAGGTGGAGTCTCGCTTTGTCACCCAGGCTAGAGTGCAGTGGTGCAATCTCAGCTTAATACAACCTCCGCCTCCCAGGTTCAAGTGATCCTCCCACCTCAGCCTCCCAAGTAGCTGGGAGTACAGGTGTACACCACCATGCCAAGCTAATTTTTTAATTTTGAGCAGAGATGGGGTTTCACCATGTTGGCCAGGCTGGTCTTGAACTCCTGACCTTAAGTGATCTGCCTGCTTTGGCCTCCCAAAGTGCTGAGATTATAGGTGTGAGCCACCACACCCGGCCTGCTAAAAGAGTTTGAAAATTACAAATGGATGATAACATAGTAATCCTGATAAAAGACTTTAAATTACAAATGGATGATAACAGTAAACTATGTTATACTGAAAAACTCTGGAGCCAAATGCCTGGTTAAAATCCTGTCCCTGTCACTTACTTGCTAGGTAACCTCTATGCCTCAGTCCTCTCATCTATATAAGCTGGAATCATAGTAGTACCTTCCTCATAGAGCTTGGGGAACGATTAAATTACTGAGTCTGTGCAAGTACATAGAATATTGTTGGCAAATGGAAAGCACTATGTGTTAGCTTTTTTTTTTTTTTTTTTATTTTTTTTATTATTAATCTGATCACAAAGGAATCTTAGGGCAAGATGCTGACTGCCAGCCCACTCTCAGCTGCTCTTCTAACTTTGGCAATGGCTTTTAGGCTTTGCCTTGGGAATGCAAGACAAGGACTATGGAGACGCAGCTCAGCAACCACCAAAAGCAGCTCTTGACATTTCAGACAGTGACATGACCTGCTGCTGGATTTGGCAACAGTGAAAGAGTCGCTCTTAGATACCTGTGCCTGAGCCAGCCAAAGGGTACATAGTGGAGTGGCAAGACAGGGTGAGTCACCCACAGAAGTATTCTAGGCTGGAAGTCAAGAGATTTTGGTTCTGGTCTTGCTTCATTTGTGGTTGTTGGTGGTGGTGTGTGTGTTTTCTTTTATTTCAGCACTTTTTTTTTTTTTTTTTGAGAGTCTCATTCTGCCACCCAGGCTAGAGTGCCATGGAGATCATAGCTCACTGCAGCCTCAGACTCCTGACACAAGCAATACCTCTGCCTCAGCCTCCCAAACAGCTGTGACTACAGGTGTGCGCCACTGTGTCCAGCTAATCTTTAAAAAATTTTTTATAGAGACAGATGGTTGCTGTGTTGCCTAGGCTGGTCTCGAACGTGTTGGGATTACAGTTGTGAGCCACTGTGCCCAGCCCATTTTCAGCACTTGAAACCCAGTACCCTTGTCCACTTACTGTAGTACACTTAGTGGTGTCCATTCTATTCTAGGACCTCTGCAGGCAGAAACAAGAGGAATCAGACAACTCTTGCCCTCAAGGGGCTCATATGGAGGGCAAGGCAGGCACACAAATGGCCAGGAGGCCCAATGGTGGCCCTTCATGAGGCCTTAGGGAGGAAGAAATGATGTCTGAGATGAATCATCAGAGATGACTCAAAGTTTCCAGGTGAGACAGGAATGGAAAACATTATGGTCAGAATACAGCTTGTTCACAACAGTGAGAGAGAGCCTACCGTGTCCCAGGAACTGCAAATTATTTGTTATTGAAAGAGCTTAGGGTACTTGTGTATACATGTGGTGGGGGTGGGTGATATTGGAAGGTTTAGTCCTGACACTCTGTGCCACCTTTCACAGGATAAATCCCTTCTCTGTACTTGATATCCTCATCAGAAAAAGCCAATTTTTCTCTGAACACTTTATGTGCTGGGCTTTACTAGGGAGACAGGGAGGTTTCAGGGTAGAATCTGATAATGCCCTTGCCTTTAGGCTGCTCGCAGTCAGAAGGGGGAGATGCTCTGTACATTCCAAACACTCAAGTGGTCATCTGCAGCCTAAGGCAGTGGTTCTCAAACTCTGGGCCGCATCAGAATCAGCTGAGCAAAGGGCTTGTTAAAACACAGAGCTGGCCCCTCACCCCCAGTGTCTGACTCAGTAGGTCAGGAGTAAGTCCCCAGAATTTGCATTTCTAACAAGTTCCAGGTGATGTTGATGATGCTGGTCTGAGACTACCCTTTGAGCACAACAGGCTATACAAGAACAAAGACAAGCTTTGAGGACTCTGAGCCAGAGATGTCTGGGGGAGACCGCACACTGAGCACGGGCCTGAAGACCTGGTAGACTTTCCCCAAAAGGTGGAGAAAGGGAATGTGCGCGCTGCTTTCACTGACCTACACATCCCAGGCCTCATAACGCTCCTCTCTGCCCCACAACAGCTCCTCTCCTTTGAATTCAGTCAAGGCTCAGAGCTGGCTGTCCCTGCGGTTGGCTAGTCTGGGTCCTGCGTTAGAAACAAACTGCCCACCCTGTGTGACAGGAGCCCCTCCCCCAGGGCAGCTGCAGTGGGAGGAAGCTGGGTGGGCTGATGCGCAGACAGAAATAGTCTGAGCTCACGGCTGCTCCCAAGCACACATCGACCAGCAATTATTTCTTGTAAATTGCTTTCCCGGTTGTGTTCAGAACATGTGTGTGTGTCTGCCTGAGAACAAACACTCGGAGGGCACAGGGTGGAGAAGCTAGCTGGAGAGTGGGCTCTGGATGGAGGGGAGCTTGAGTGTGAATCTTTAGCCCAGAGTTAGAGAATGTTGAATCTTGGAACTCGGAAATGTTAGCACATCCCACTCCCCTTCACAGCTCTCCTGCTAGGTGTTTTTTCTCAGAAGTTCACATTTGTTTGTCCATTCAACATTGATTGACAATGATTTTCTGCCAGAATCTTGGCTAAATGAGGTCCCAATCCCTATCTTCAAGGAGCTCATGGCTACAGGCATTTACAGAAGGTCCCTAATCTAGCCAAATACTCTGGGAAGGCCTCCTGGAGTAAGTGTTGATTTACTTAAGTTTAAAGGACCCACTGACAGATGAAAGGAGATCTGTGGTACAAGATGAGGAACAGCATTCAAGGCACAAGGAACAGTGTATTCAAAGACCCACAGCTAAGAGAGAGCATATGGTTCTTTCAAGTAACAATCAGTTTGGGTACACACTAGATTCAAAGTGGGAATGGTGAGAGATGAAGCCGGAAGCATAGAAGAGCCAAGTCCTGAAGGCTTTGCCATGTAAAGAGGCTTGGTCTTTATCCTGAGAGCAAAAGGGAGCTTTTTTTTTTCAAGCATGGAAAGGAACTCAACACCTTCTGTGAGCACTTGCTCTCTGTTCTCTGTAACACTGAAGTGAAATTTGCCATTCAGGATCTCTGCCTTTGGGGCCTTTTGGTTACAGATCCTTCAGAAGTCTGAAGGACAGTGATGGCTCATGTGTCCACAAGAAATGACTCAGGCCCTAGACATCTGCCTGTCTCATGACGCTACTCCTCCTGGTCTGTGCCTGTTGGCTCAGGGGCCAGGGCAACCAAAGCCAGACTGTAGGCCACAGCCCAAGGGAGTTCCATCCCTTGCTCAGTCCCAGAACCCTGGGTCTCACCTGGGAAGTCTCGTGTGTAGAACACTCACAGGGGTCTGAAGGGCTCCTTGCATACCTTCTCCATCCTTCATAGGATCAAGGCCACCCAGAGCAGATGACCCACTCAGAGAGCGTTGACTGAAGACACACTGTGGGTCCACCACTGTGACAAGTCCTTAGGGTAGAAAATATGACGTGGCATGGTGGCTCACGCCTGCAATCCCAGCACTTTGGGAGGCCCAGGCAGGTGGATCACCTGAGGTCAGGAGTTCAAGACCAGCCTGGCCAACATGGTGAAACCCCATCTCTACGAAAAATACAAAAATGAATGAGGCATGGTGGCATGCGCCTGTAGTCCCAGCTACTCGGGAGGCTGAGGCAGGATAAATGCTTGAACCCAGGAGGTGGAGGTTGCAGTGAGCTAAGATCACGCCATTGCACTCCAGCCTGGATGACAGAGCAAGACTCCCGCTCAAAAAAAAAAAAATCCTGCAACTTTGCCTTTCAGGCCTTACTTACTAGAGACGAAGAGTAGGTTTGACCCATGAAACCCCTACAGAGC